ATAGATAGATAGATAGATAGATAGATAGATAGATAGATAGATAGATAATGGATAGAGAGAAGATAGATAGACGATAGAGAGATAGATTAGGTAGGTAGAGAGATAGAGAGATAGATATAGATGGATAGAGAGAAGATAGATAGAGAGATAGATTAGATAGATAAATAGGTAGATGGATGGATGGATGGATGGATAGATAGATAGATAGATAGATAGATAGATAGATAGATAGATAGATGATAGAAATAGATGGATAGAGAGAGACGATAGATGGATGGATGGATGGATAGATAGATAGATATAAATGGATGGAGAGAGAGAGAAGATAGGTAGGTAGGTAGATAATAATGGAGATAGATATATAAATAGACAGGTACTGTAGATGGATGGACAGACAGACAGACAGACAGAGAGGTTGGGTGGGAGAGAGAGAAATATGTATATATACAGAGAAACAGAGAGAGAGAAACTCTATTATCACTTTGAATGTAGACTAATCGGCATACATTAAAATGAAATTCTCCATTTTGCTGTAGAAAAGGCTCCCCGCCTAGTTTTCTAGCTCTGCTTCTTTATTCTGATCTTTTTTTCTTTCTTTTTCCTCCCCTTGATTCCCCCCCCTCCTTCTCTTTGCAGTGCAACGCTGGCCGGGGAGGCTAATATCCGCAGCGCACAGAGAGCATCCTTCCCTCCCCTTCAATTCTACCCATTGGAAGGATGGGGAGGCGGGTTATTCCGGAACGATCCAGCACTCCATTTACAGCACAGGTGGAAAGGGCACCACCAGAAGATCCCGATCGACGGCTTCGGGCACCGCGGCCCCCAACATTCATCTCATCAGACTAGCAACGACGTAACGCCTGACCCACTTAGTGGTAATTGAAGGGAAGGGAAGACCAAACTGCACCTGTGTCCAGCCTGAGTTAATTTAAGTCCTGTGGACTTCAACTCCCAGAATTCCCCAGCCAGCCATGCTGGCTGGGGAATTCTGGGAGTTGAAGTCCACACAGTTGCCAAAGTTGGATATACCCTTTTTTTAGGGAAAGATCTCCCCTCCATCCCAAATCCCCTTGTCTTCACCGCACCCACCCACCCACCGTCCAAATTTATATAGCGTCCTTTTATTGGATCCCCGGGGAGGGGAAAGGGCGGTTTTAATTTATTTGCAGAACGACCGTCTTTGTCGCTCTGTGAATCCCGGTCGTGCTGGCATCGTGTCCGAGAAACCTCTTGCGGCCCGGAAAGTCCCTTTGATGCGCAAATCATGATTAAGGCGTCTGGTTACATCCCTGTTCGTGCCTGCGGGCTGAAACCAAGTTACCAACAATTATGTATCCGTAATAATAATAATAATAATAATAAAAAGGCATTGTTTCTTTTTGCAAACGGGGCGCGAGAGTTCGGCTGATCTTCTTCCGGGATGGGGAGGAGAATGCAAAAGGGCTCCGGAAATTGTCTCACACACACACACACACACACACACCCTTTGTGACATGCTGAAGCTGCCGTTTATTTTACGGATTGATTAGGAATCGCCCTCCCCTATTACCTACGATTTACTTTCATATTCTCTTTGTATGCCATATTATAAACTAATAAAAAAAAAATAAAACTTTAAAAACGGAATTCCCCCGTCTCTCTCGTAGAGGGGCGCTGGGCAGTGTACATGTAAAACATTAAAGAGATAAAAAACCATATGGGAAATTTGGAAAACAGACCAGGATAGATAATATTCATCCATCCATCCATCCATCCACTCACTAGTAGTCCTTATAACCAGAGTTGAGCCCAATACTTCCATTGTTAAGCCACACAGTTTAAGTGAGTTTAACCCACCTTAAATCATAATGACTGGGGGATTCTGGGAGTTGAAGTCCACCCACCTTAAATTATGATGACTGGGGAATTCTGGGAGTTGAAGTTCGCCCACCTTA